ATTAGTTAAGTTAATTAATTAATTCTAATCGGTGATTAAGGTCAATTGGTTTATTGTGTTGAACATAGAAACTGGCCATCGCTCGGGCGGCTGCAGGGCCTGGTCAGTGAGGTTAAGACGTGCGCACGAGGGTCTGCGATCTTGGGTTTGAGGCCATCGCCCGAGGGATCCTACCTCCACCGAATTGAGGCCATCTTCGATATTACGAATTGAGGCTATCTCCGTCATAGGCAATAAATGTTAAGTGGTTTGACTTTGGTGAAAGTCTAAATTGGTTTGACCGGTGGTCAAAGAGTTAATGGGAAACCCGTAACACCTAAATCGTTTTGAAAAGAAAGAAAATAAGTTGACTGTTGGTCAACCGTCTAAAGAATCGAATGTAAAGTTGAATTGATTCTTATTAAAAGGATAAACATATGCACGATCTTAATTGTTGAATTATTATGTTTATTCTTGTGCTACAATGGAGTACCACTCAGCGTAAATGCTGAGCGGATAGCGTTGTTTTCCTTTTTGCTGTCCGTAGGTGAACAGACAGATGAACCTAGAGCCGATCCCAGAGGGCATTGAGGAGGAGATGTACGATGGCGTGGCTGTCTCTTTAATCTGTTGATATGCTTTATTTAATTAACTTTAATGCTTATTACGTTTTCGGGCAAGATCCCAAGTTGTTTGACTTTAAAAAGGCTTCCGCATTATTTAAAATTACTCCGATGGATTTTTATATGTATTGAAAGAACGTTTGTTTAAAATTCTTCTGAAAATGTCGCAAATTCGGATACCAATTCAGTGGCACACCGGTCCGCTGTCTCACGGGTTTGGGTCATGCGGGTTGGGGTGTTACATTTGCCTCTGAATAGTTAAGCAATATACTAGCTCTTAATGGTTCAGACCTCTTACTGGTTCAGCACTTACCTATTCAGAAGTTGCCAAACAGCCCCTAACTTGTCCTTTTATTCTTCTTTCTTCTCTTTTTTTCTTGACTAATTCTTCCCGTCACCCCACACCTTCCACTCCTAACTAGACCTGGCAATCGGGTCAATCGGTTCAGTTCTGGTTTGGGTCTTTTCGGTTCGGGTCTCTTTCGGATATATGTTATAATCGGTTTGGGTCGGTTCGGTTCAGGTCAGTTCGGTTCCGGGTTTATTTCGGTTTGATTGGTTTTCGGTTTCGGTTCAGTTTCGGTTCGGGTTTGTATCGGTTCGGGTTTATATCGGTTTGGGTTTGTATAAATTCGGGTTGTATTGATTTGGGTTTATATAGATTTGAGTTTATATCGGTTTAAATTTATATTAGTTCAAGTATAATGTAAACACATACATACTAATAAATGAATAAATCACATAATAAATTTAGTTAATTTAGTTAACTATAATTTTTATATACTTTCTATAAAAATACAAAAGTATTTTAACTTAAGTTATAAAATG